TGCCCAGCCTCACTCTGCCCTGCTGCGCTGAGTTCTGCTTGCTGTGCTGTGGAGGCCCAGGAGGGAGGTGAGCAGGGTGGGAAGCCTGAGCCCACAGCAGGCAGACCGCAACCCCCTCTGGCTGTGCCACCCGGTGGGAGGGGGAGCTGGGCTCCACACTGCTGCAGCAGCCGCTGCCTCCCATAGGCTTGGGCGCTGATGTGTGGTCCCTGGCCCCATAGCCATGACAGCAGGGCTGGGGGTGGGGAGCGAGGGACACTGGCAGGCCTGAGGAATTCTGGCATGGGATTGAGGGGCAAATGTAATGGGCAGAGCATCAGCATATCAGGGCTGCTGAGCAGCACACAGCAGAGGGGGCAGGGGATAGCCACAGCTGGCCCCATGTCCTGGTGAATGAAGGGGGCAGGAGTCGCTCTGATTTTCCATGATAAAAACCCAAAATCAAATGTCAAAATGTATTGGTATTTAGAATTTATTTTATTAGTGATTGAGGCACTGATTGGCTTCCAGATTTCTTTGAAATTGTAACTATATCAATAAAACATTGTGTTCAACTGATCTCTATACAGAGTGGTATTTAATTTTAATCATGGAAAAATTAGGATTTTGCATTTTTTTTAATCAGACAATTTGCAATTTTTTTTTATCAGAGAAAACCAGAACAGTCTAGAACAGTGTGGCCATTGTTATGTAAAGCAATAGCAATATTTCCATTAATGTCAGTGGTTCCATAGTCAAATTCAGATTTTCTATAAGCAACTGTACCTCCATTGAAGGTGCACATAAATAATAGTAATTAATGGCCTATTATTGTACGCTTTACTTAGAGCTTAAATTAATCCTAGTGGAAAAGACAATAATAAAAAATCAGAAGACCTGGGTTTTATGTGTAGCTCCTACCACCGAACTGCTGTGTGCCTTTGGCCGTATCACTACTTCTCTTGCTTTTACTTCCTCTCCTCTTTTTCAGTCTTATTTAGGGCCTTGTTACACATTAATTTTAGGTGGCGTATGGTTGGATTACATATGAACATCTGAAACTAGTTTTTAGCATACTTTAGACAGCTTAAAGTTATCCAGGGCAGGTTTACCTTTGATATATGTGTTACCTAGTTTGTGTTCCATTAATGTGTCACCACTCCCTGAAGATGAGCTGCCCAGGTTGCAGTCTGCCAAAATCCCAGCATGCATTGTTTCCTTCCCCAAACTCCTGTTCTCTGTAAGCAGACTTTTCACCCCCTGAACTCTACTGCCTAGGGGGTGGTTCTGGCACCAAGTAAGCTCCACCTCCTGGCCCCAGGTATGCAACCTTCCCACTTTAAGGGGTGCAACCCCATGCAAACAGCCTGTGGAGCACATGCCAGTAGGGGTGTGTGAAACACACCTTATTCTATTCAGATTTGGCCTGAACTGGGGACAGTGATTTGATTCATTGATTCGGATCACTGTCCCTGATTCAATTCGGCCAAATCCGAAGATTCGATGCCAATTTGGAGAATCAGTGATTTGGACACAGAGACAGCTTTAAATGTTTTTTCTACACACCTTGAGGTACCAGCATGGCTTGTGAATGCTGTAATGCTGGGGTGCATGGAGCATCCCAAAGGAGTGCGGGGGAGTCCCCTGCGTGCTCGGCAGCGAAACTGGAAGTGACCAGAAGTACAGGTCTGCCAGGGAGCATGCTGCCCCCCCCCCCACACACTCTCCCAGCTTGGCAATCAGCTGCGGGAAGACCCCGGGTGCCAGCCCAGACCCAGGAGGCACCGCCAAAGCAAATCAGGGACCAAAGCTTCGCATGGCCCTATATGCCAGCTAGCAGGACATGGGCACAAGAGTGGGGTCTAAAAAAGGTGGGTGGAAACAAAGTAGGGGGCTGGATTGGGTCCCTATGAGCTGGGGTTTCCTTCTGGGGTCAAGGGCAGAGGCAACAGCTTCCCAAAAAGCACCTTCCCTCACCACTCCCACCTCCCAGCCATGACAGGAAGCATGACCATGCCTGAATCCCAAATCCCAATTTCAAAATTAAAACATGAGACCTTCTATAATTGACTTCCTATTTCTGTATTTCTTTTTCAATCCTTTTTTTTTTTTTTTTTTTTACTTTTTTATTTTATCCTTCAGTGGCTGACTTCCTTCGTGTCATCATCCCTCTCCCACCCACATATCATTACTCACCCCTATCCCATTAATTCTCTGCCTCCCAGTCTCATGTTCCTGTGACCCTTCCCAATCCATCTCTCATCTCCACCTAGGGCAGGAATAGAAGCCTGTCTTGGCCACCAGCCCTGTAGCCACAACTCACAGTGGTAGCTCCTAGTCAGGCCCCTGCTTGTCAGGCCTCTTGTGGCAAATCACAGCTGTGCAGGTTGGGAACAGTCAGAGGTTTTCAGCTTTAAGGTGTGACTGCTCTGAACTCGAGCTAGTACTAACACAGATGAACGTTTGGGCAGCTCAAAGTGAAATGTGCAACAAGGCCCTTAGTTAGGCTATAAACTCTTATGGCAAGGCAGAGTTTATCTTTCCTTGTGTTGGTATAATTAAATCCCTCAAGTTACTACTGTAACAAACACAACCCCAGCGTACATATTATGAACCAAATTCTAAAACTGGCCACAGATCCACAGATGATATTTTGTACTATTGTTCACATCACAGGGGTAGCCACTCAGGTAGGGACAGAAATTACACATAAACCAGTACAAGTGATTGAAAACCAGTTCAAATATGTATCACAACGGAAGTTCAGTGCACATAAACCACTTTCAAAATGGCTGAAACCAGTTTAAGATAAACCTGGATGGATATAGCATCAGACTTAATTAATTTAGGTGAAATCAGTTTATTGAACAACTGTCCCAGATCCCGTCCAGATTCAAGTTACAACAGTATGCTCCCCCCCACCCCTCCTCCCAATCTCAGGGTGCCTTGCACTTCCCCCGCAAACTCCAATTCAAAGGGTGGGCAGGACAGCTTTGGCCCAAACTGTCTGCTCTAGATGAGCAGGGAGCTGTGCTTTAGTGCCCCCCCAGCTTCTGGCCTGAGCCACTGCAGGTATGTGGCTGCGTTCTGGAATCAAAAGTGAATGCCTGTTCACTTGCTTATCAGTTCAATCTACGCAGCTTAGACTAACCTGTAAAGATTTAACTGATTCAGCCTTGGGCTTTTTGACTGTCTGTACTTAGCTTCAGTGATATTTCCTCAAGCTGATCCACATCTAACAAGAATGACACAGAAAGTGCTTCTTGATGTTTCTGTGTGTGTGATGGAGTGTCCCTCGTTGAGTGACAGCTGAGAATACAGTGAGGAGTCCAAATAGTATCTACTTTTTCCACTCAGCTGTCAGAAAAAAATAGGTTGTTAGTTGGCAAAGAGACCCAAGAGTCCCCCTCCCCGCCACCCCTGCAGGCAATTGGCAATTTCTTTTTTCCATCTCTGCCCTAGTCTGCGTTTCAAATTCATCTGCTTCCTTTTCAAGCAGCAGCTGCCTTTGTAACTATAATGGGCATCATCACAATGTGCTGCTTGCAGAAACCATTTTCTTTTGTTACTGTTCTTTTTGTGTGCTGTTGGAGATGCACCTCTCCTGGTCCAGGTGCAAACACCCAGTCTCTCTTATTCTAGCTCTTAATCTTTTTTAAAATTGTAGTTTCAAATCAGATCCAGACTAACCGGCTTCTCTAACTCAATGTTGTACAGAAATATTATAGCTTCTAAATCAAATACTAGATATCTATAACAAAAGGACTAAAAAATAAAGGAAATTATCTACTTGTATTCTGAAGCTTTGAGACAGAAAGTGTTGCAGGATTTAATACAAAAAAAAAAATCACCATAGTTTAACCTTTGGCATCCTTTATCTAGAATTCTTTAAATGAATGTCCTGAGCAGAGGTCAGCTTCATGAAACCCCTCCTACTGAAACAGTAGAAACAGCTGACTTACACTAAGGTATTATTTAAGTAACCATTTTCTGCTGTCTTTAAGACAGTCCTTTCTCCAAGTCTGAAATACTCCTTTATGATCAGATGTCAGAGCTAATGCTAAATCATCCTTACTACTTATTTTTAGTGTAGAAACAAAATGTTACCTGCAGACATTTCACAGCAATGTAAGGCAACAATGCTCCTGTCCCAAGCAGTTTATAGCTAAAGGCCACTTAATTAGAACTATTCCTGGATAGACATTCAATAGTCAACAATTATTTAAAGTCAATTAAATCTATCCTTTTATAAAGCAGAAGAATGAACAGAAGATTCACTGGAGGTTCATACCAACTAGATTCTATAAATGGTGGAGTTCAGCCTTTTTTCACTACTGTGAGCCCACCCTGTTAGCTTTTGTTCATAAATACAATTGATCAGTGAATTTACTAACTCTGCTCCTAAATACCACTTTCCATTAATATAAAACATGGAGTATGAAATTTCATGTGCAATTTAAACACACAGAGGAATCTGACATGTCATTTGAATTGGATGCAAAGCACATTAAAAAGAAACTTATACCCTTTATAACTTATATCTTAATAAGTTTTCAGCATTCAGACCTAGTAAGAAAACCATGTTTTCAGCCCCAAAAGTAGCTAAAATTCAATCATCAAGATACTTGGGTGCAATTCAAAGAAAGAGGGAAATGTCACGTTTGTGCGTGTGCATGCATGTATGCATACACACGTGAAATATAAATGCCACTATATCAAACAATGGCATCTCAGCACATAGAAGACTGTGTAAAAGATGCCATAAATTCATTTTAAAAACAGTTGAAGAGGTCAGTGAAAACTATTTAGATATATGAATTGTTTAATGCATAAGAAACTGCTAACATCAGGGGTTGGCCTTCCCCCCCCCCCTTTTTTTTTTTTTTTTTAATTAAAAGGTATAATTTTTCCACAATTATTTGCACAATTGCAAAAGTCTGACAGGCTCCATATTCTGCCCCATAATACAAGAATGAGAAAATACCCACTGTAATTGAAAAGGCATGTTATAAAGAGAAATAAGATTCTCAGAGGTACACCAATAGAGATTTTTGGGTCGATACCAATGGCTGATTTTTAATGAGCCATATTGGCTGATACCAATCCAATTGGTGATATGTGGCCCAGCAGCTTGGAAAGCACTGTCCGGCTGGTAAGTTTGTTGTAGGGGAAGGGGCAAGGGGAGAGGGAAGGGTCACGGGGGACAGATCAAGGCCCCCCCCGGTGAGGGAGGGAGTGGGGCTGGGGCAGGGGCAGGCACTGAACAGCCAGAGTGGGGCACAGGACAGAGCCGCAAGTGGCTTGTCTGAGGCGGGCGGGGGGGGGGGGGGGAGCCCCTCCTGCTGCTGCACACACCCCAGGAGGGCATGGGGGGCATGTGCCCCTGTATCTGTGTGCAGGGTGAAAGCAGGCTTCTGCTGTGGGCTGGGGGCAGTGCTGGGCTCATCCTGGTGGAGGGGGCTTGCCCAGGCTGTGCTTGGGGCAGGGAAGGGGGCTACAGCAAATTTTAGGGCGACTGTGTAGCCTACCCTATAGCCCCTCTCCCAGCACTGC